GCTCGGGAGAGTCGGGAACTTGAGCGTGCATGGGAGGGCAAATCGTCATCAGGGAGTAGCCAGAGCGGTACGTCGTGGCTAGCCTACCTCTTTGGGGGGTATGTGTTGTTCGCCCTCTATACGGAGTATAGACAATACCAGCAAATAAAAAGGATCATTAGGGAAGGGCGTAAGCCTAGAAGGCGGCGGAAAGAGGCTGGTGGGGAGTCCGACGTTGAGGGGCTACTAGAGTTGTACAAACGGAAACAACGGGAGATGTACAAGCTCAAGCACGGCCATCGCGAGGAAGGTAGTAGGGACAGATAGTTTGCCTCGCTATGGTTGTTTTGCTCTGAGCTCTCTTTAGGGTATGGGTTCGAGAGAACTTGTCGATGCGTATTGTGTTAGGCTCTTCGAGCAGCGAGTCTCAGAGCAGTTGTGGAGGATCGGTGGTGATAGGGAGTTCCTGACACGCCTCGCTTTCCAGCCCTGTAGATTACCATTGTTGTCCTATTGTTGGTATCAAGCATCATTCACCTCGCATAGATCGTCTCTGGTAGCAGCTCTCTTGAGTTGTTCACGTAGGGAAGGATGAAGGCATTATCATGATCGATCTCTGATGAGGCTATTGTGGTTGGTTAAGGGCAGCTGGAAAAGACCTGTGAAAGCTCGGGGTACCGGTCGCCCCTTGTCAAGTAACGGACTTTTCCAGTTGTATCGAATCTGCATGAGTGCCAACTTGAACATCAACAATCGGCTCACTCAGTGAATGCTGTGAGCTTCGAACCTACGCGGACCGTGTCCGCTGAATTTCAAGTACACTTCCTTAACCACTCGGACAAACACTCGATAGTATCATTGTGTATTCTGCCTGCTTGGACTTCGGAGGATCGACTAATTCGGTTGCACTGGCCTATCCTCCGATTGGTATCGATCAATGTAGATGTTAGAGTCACAATGAAGGTAACTATAAACAATCGGCAATGAGTGCTGTGGGGTTCGAACCCACTTGAACCGTATCCATTGGATCTCGAGTTCACCCCCCCCCTAACCAATCGATAGCACAACCGTGTCCTGCCTGCGCCGAACAGCTTCAATTCAGCATCCTGCTGATCCAAAGCCACCTCGTAGCATATGCACAAGACGTATCGAGTTC